AATGATATAGTTTAAAGGTTCCTCTATTCCTTCTCTTAGTGTATAACCTGTATATTTATGCCTTACGACTTTCAGGCATCTAAGGATCCATGGATCCATGGATCTAAAGAGAAGATACTAGAGCAGCACCTTGGGACAGTGCCTAATTCACGTGCTTTCCTTTACCACACCTTAATCTAAGTCTAGCTGTGGACACAGATCTTTCACATTTCCAAGATGATTCATTTGTTAGTTTTGTGAGGAAATGTTGAAAAATTCATTATTCTAGTTGATATGAAATCCATTTAGTAAGTAGTTGCTAGTTAACAGATATGGGAACAATACTTCACATTCATTTAGTGACATGAAGAGCATGCCTAATTCTCCCCACCTCCCCCCCCCACCCCAACTCCATCTACTATTTTATGAATGAGAAGACTGATACTTCTAGTATCTTCTCTGTTTGTCAAAATCTGTGGAATCTGTGGAAGCTGCATGGAAATTTTCTTGTTTAACAGCCTTCTGGGATGTGTTTTAGATACAGCAAATTTTAAGCAACATGTATGTGTCTGTGTCTGTTTTTTTTTAATCCTATATGATTGCAAGTGATAATAAAAGCTGCTTTTTTTTTTCATTCTGTTACTTTGTTGAAAAGCTAAAGAATCTCAACTCAGAGACAGGTCAGGGAGTGCTGGTACCAAAGTCCTCTGTGGGATTGTGGCCAGTGCTAAAGTAGAAACTTGGCAGGTGAGGTGTGCCAACTGCAAGAACTAGAGCTGAAATGATGAAGTGAGTTATGGGGACAGCGCTAGGCACTGCCCAAACTTTTTGAAAGCTTTCAGGATGAAGTGGGGAAATGGAAACTTTCCCCTTTTGAAACACAAAAGACAAATGTGTACTGAAGGCAATTTTGGCAACCCAACTTCACACTGAACAAAGTGAAGACAGTATGAGTTTCTCCAATAAAAAATAAAAAGCTGTTTTCAAATTGACCTAAGATGATTGAAAATGGAAAATATTTGCTATTTGGGTTATTAGTTTGAAAGCGAGTGCCCCAGGAAATATTTTGCAATTTAACTTAAATGGTAAGAATGTACATTTTCTTGGACTTCATTAAAGAATGTCTCTCCTGGCCTTTCTGTTAGGTTGAACCATATGACATTGCCAACACTCACCGTCCCTGACATACAAAGCAGTCCTTTCACATGGTTGCACCACAGCTCCACTGCCACCTGCCCAGTTCTAGCCACATCAGCATTCACCTGGACTGTCAGGGATCGCCCCTGAAAAGAAGCCCCACGCTCATCACGCCTCCACTTTTTCTTTTCTTTTTCTTATGTGTAAAACATGCATAACAAAATTCTATCTAAAATTTGTTATGTGTAAAATTTACCATCTTAACCACTGTTAAGTCACATTAAGTACGTCCATGTTGTCATGTTTATATTATCAGCTCCAGAAGTCTTTTCATCTTGCAAAACTAAGACTCCAAATTGGTTAAATAGTAACTCCTCTCTCCCCCTCCCCAGCTGGGGTAACCACCATCCTACTCCTGCCCCTATGTGACTCCTCTAGGCACCATATGTAAGGGGCATGATATGGTATCTGTCCTTTTGTGTCTGGCTTGTTTCACTTAGCACAATGCCCTCAAGGTTCATCTGTGTTGTAGGTATGTCAGAATTTCCTTTATTCTAAGGCTGAATAATACTCCATTGTATGTGTAACTCCTCCCTTTATTTTACATGCTTTGAAAATGAACTTCCTACAGAATCAATTCAAGGCCTTCAACAATGCAACTTACACCCAAAGCATCCCAAAACTGCACAAAACTCATTATTATCCAGCCAGATTGAACTAATGCATTCTTCATAAATACTCTTGGTTCCCCCACTGTTGCACTGCCTGAAGGTTTCCATTTCCTCTCTCTTTATTGATCCCCTCACATACCCGCTTCTACATGACGCCACCCCACTGCCCCCTGTCCCCCAAACTTCATCCCCTCCCTCCCCCAAGCTCATGACCTCCCCTCCTCAGCTTGCTTCATTCACTCTTCCTAGAGAATTTCTTTTTTTCTGCTTGCTTTACCTCCACATATAAGCTGATGCTTTTTTTTTTAAGATTTTTTTTTATTTGTACAATAGCTGGGGTACAGGCCAGAGGTGTGGGAGGGTGAAAGGATTCACCAGAGACAGAGTGGGGAGCAGAACAGGCAGACAGACTGAAAGCACTGCTGAGGGGAGCAAGAGGCCGGCAGGAGAGGTCTGCCACGTCACGTGGGAATCTCCCTGGCCGGCCGGGAATCAAACCCTCGCTGCAGAGGCTGTGGACAACCTGCTGCGCCACCGGGGAGGCCCTAGGCTGAGGCTTTTCAAAGCCTTTCCCCTGCCCACATGTCCATCATGGACTTCGACTCAGATTTCCAACTTGCTGATAGACCTCTTCTCATTAGCACTTCCAACTCAACATGACTAAAGTTGACCTTGTCATCTAACCCCCCAAACCACTTTCTCCTTACTTAATAGCATCAGCATCTGTGGGCTGTGTCTCCCACCACAGGAACCAGGAGTCAAGCTGGACTTCTCCCTGTGCTGACTTCCCTCAGCACAGAAAAGTGCATTTTCTCATCCTTCTCTCCTCTATCCATTCTCTGCTCTCCTAGTTCAAACCCTCTTGCTTACAACACTGCACTATTTTTAACTGTTCTGCACTCAATGCCATCCTGCATCCTGCTGCCCTTGTATCCCAAAGATGCAAGCCATTGCCTGATATTTTCCCATTTACAACTCCTTAAAGACTCCTGTCACCCATTCTGTTTCCAGTGTCCTCCATGACTGAAGCCTTCTCCTTCCACATTGTCGGATATTTCTTGCATCCCTGCTTATTCTCCATCAGTCTAGAATGACCATTTTCCCCCAACATTGGGGGGTTTCTTGGCCTTTGCTCATGCTGTTCCCTCTGCCAGAGACCCGCCAGCCCTTCTCCTGGTCCTCTCCCCAATGCCTCCTGATCCCTAAACTCAGTTCAGGGGGCACTCTTCGCCTGTTTCTGCTCTGATGAAATGCCCTGCTGTGAGCACTCCAGGGTTATGAGAAACACTGTACTGTGGTGGGGAAGAACCTGGGCTTTGTTACCCATAAGAACTAGCTTGAATTCTTTTTTTTTTTTTAAAGATTTATTTATTTATTTATACAAGCACTGGGTACAGTCAGAAGCATGAGAGGGTGAGAGAATTCACCAGAGCCAGAGCGGGGAGCAGAGCAGGCAAAAGGACCAAAGTACACTGCTGAGGGGAGCAGCGGGCGGCAGGAGAGGTCTGCGCGCCATGTGGGACCCTCGGCTGGTGTCTGGGGATCAAACCAGCGCTGCAGAGGCCGCGGGCAGCTTCGCTACCCAGCACACTCAACCGCTGCGCCACCGGGGAGGCCCAGAACTAGCTTGAATTCTATACCTGCAATAATCAGACTGTGGGACCTCTTCCATTTTTCCATTTATTTAACTTCTCTGAGTACCAGTTTTCACAAAAAATGAAAATAGCAATATATAAGGTATAAGGTTGTTGTGAGCATTAAATAGGAAAAAGCTAATCAAGTATTTATTGTCAATAAAATATGACTATTGTTATTATTCCATTAAGGAACTTGTCTATGTCTTTTTTATAGAATGCTAATTATTTATTTATGTTATGGCTCCTCCAGTAGACTGAATTCCTTGTCTTCTTCATCCTTTGCAACCCCAGAGAAGGCACTTGTTAAATATTTATTGAAGGAATGAATGCAGAAACAAGCCTCACACAGCTACCCCTGTGTTCACATAGCACTATGTCTTTCCCTTAAGGTATGTTCAGACTTGTATTATAACAATATATGAAAATGTGAATTAACTTTTCTATTAGATGCTAAGTTACCTGAGGGCAGAAACTATGTCTTCTCAATAAATGCATATCTATGTGAATTCCAGACTTTTAAGTGTCAATTCTTTTTAGTAAGATTATGGTTTGAATTTCAGACATGAAAACTGAAATTAAATAGTAGACTTTCTAACCACAAAATAGAAAAAAAAGAAAACCTAAAAATCCGTTACCTCATTCATCTTGGGCCCCTTTCTTTCCATTCATTAGCTCTACACTCTGCCCAGGATGCCCTTTCATCTCCTCAGATAAGCCATGCTGTTCCCTAATGCAGACCCTTTTTGTGGCAGCCTGAGACTAAAACTATGGCCAACATAATACCTCATCAATTTTCAGAAAAGCGTTTCCTGACCCACCCCTCAGACAAGGGTAAGTCATTTATAGGTATTGTTCAGGAGTAGCTGCATGTTTTTACTGGAAAATGAGAAGGCTACCCATATCAGGAAAAGTCTCTCACCTTTCTTGCATTTTTCTCAGCACCGAATGCATAATCGACACTCCGCAGACTCACGTGGACTGACTGAAAGAATAGCACTCTGGGTTCCAGTCTCTTCTTTTGTAAGGCATTGGCAAATGTTAGACTGAAAGGATTACACAGGGGTTACTTGATGACTAAATTCTTAAAAGAATTTAAGTGATGGGAAGCAAATCAGTATTATGGATTATAGCAGAAAAACCAGGGGAAATTAAAAGGTGATCTCCATGGTGACCAAAAGCACTAACTGGTCTAGTATAACTTGGGACTAATGTGATAAAACTCTTCCAGAAATTGAAACAAACGAGAGAGATTTGAGAAAAACCGTTGACCCCGAATGTAGCAGTTGGTGGAAGCAATTTCAGGGACTCCACTGGACTTTTTCCATTATAATTTTCCTGACTGCATGGCTAAGGGGACCAGAATGGTTAAGGAGACTGGAGTGGTAGTCAGAGGCCTGATCTGCATGGATCTATGGCAATAGTTAATCGATGATTTGTATCTAGGGGTGAGGTAGCTGACCAGGACAATGCTCCACTTGTGTAATCAAAAAAAATTGAGGAGGTCAAAAGTGCAGCTGGTGACATCATCTGCCTCAGTGGAAAGTTATGGATGTTCATGTAATTTCAGGACCTCTGATGGTTTACAGACAAACACCCTCAGTTGAAGAGAACATCATATCTCCTTAAGGAAGTTCCTTGCAAAACTACTGCCAGAATACCTGCTAAATATCCCCTCAGTCTTTTAAAAGAGACTTCCCACCATTGTTGGGATAACTGTGGATTGAGGACATACCCAGATTTTTCCAGGTATGTATGATTGAAACCTGGGGGGATCATAGCACCAGTTAGAGTGGAGGCAGAAAAAAAATTCCAACCTTTGTCTGATTTTCAGTGATCCCAATGGGTTCACTGACCTACCCTGTATGTATTTCCTTTGTCTCTGTGTTTTTAATAGTGATAGACTTAGTGATAGAACTAAAAGTAGCATCATTTTCACATCAGTCCCCTTAGCCATGCAGTCAGGAATGTAATAGAAAAAGACCAGTGGAGTCTCTGAAATTGCTTCCACCAACTGCTGCATGCTAACTCAGAAGCAATATCAAACTCCAGGAGTAGTTCTTAGATTAGTCTTCAAAGACTTAAAGGACACAAGGGTGGATGCTTGTGCTCTCCCTCACATCCCTATTCAAAGGCTACTATAATCTGAATCAAGTGGTAGCTGGCCAGATGTGGTGTTATGCTGCAACAAATCAAAACAGCCTCTGACATCTGGTTTGTGGATTCTGATCTAGTGAAAACATTCTTCTCCTTCAATAGAAAAGATCAAACACAGATCACTTTCACACAGAAGAAACAGAATATTCACTCTCTTGCTCCAGGGCTATATTAATTCTATTGCCTTTTGTTTTAGTATGGTCCATGGGGACCTTTCTTATCTTGACATTTTGCAATTTTCTCATTGGCTCACTCTACTAATAACATCAGATTCATTTTCTCTGTAAAGCAGGAAATGGCAAGTTCCCCCATGTCCTAGGAAGACACATGTGTGCAACAGAGTAGGTGATAAAGCCAACTTTAAAAGTCAGTCACATCAGTGAAAACCTTAGGGGTACAGCAGTCTGGGAGATGTGGGACCTTCCCTGTATGTCAAATGGTCAGTCACTGTACATTACACCTCCTACCACTTAGAAAGAGGCTTGGTACATGAGGAAGGCCTCTTTGGACTTTGAAGGCAGAAACACCATACTTGCCTAAGCCATGTTGGAAGCCACCCAGAAAACTCCCCAGTCAATGGTGATTCAAACCTAGAGGTAAGTTTAAAGCAAGCCCAGGTTGGTGTGCAAGCTGTTCAGCTATTTGTCCACATGAGCCAACATGTCTGATAGTACTAGATGGCCTATGATGGATAAAGAGTCTATGTAGAATTTCTGGCAAGTCCCAATAGGACAAACTTCTGCCCAATTAATGGGACATATTTTGGACAGTAAGTACTACCAAACATACTTCCTGGGTTCTAGAGAAAAGCCATACTTTCAACAGTATAATAAGACTACTTTCCATTTGGAAAATAATTATGGGCAAAAGGAAGGGTGTACGCCGATCTCTCACGGCCTCCAAGCCTCCGGCTTTTCGATACAAGGGATCGCATGAGAAGCAGGTACCATTCATCACAGAGCTAAATCTTCACTCAACTTGGGAGTTAGAGAAGCTGATGGAGGCTTGCCAAGACATCTAGTCTTTTGTCTATAAGTCACGCTAAACTGAAATGATCCTCTCAAAGGACCCTCCTGCCTCTCATTTTTCATAGGAATATTTGAAAGACTTTTTGTATTCCCTAAAATTGCAAAATAGACTGAATTTAAGATAGTCTTTCCAAATGTGAACTATTCACTTTTTCCTGAATAACTGACACAAAGTCAAAGGAAATAAAGCTACTAAAGTCTTAATGTAATGTTACTTTGTTTTTGTTAGTGCTGCTTTATTTTTTTCTATTTTCTTAATTTACTTTAAAAATATTTATTTAACTCCTCCTTTGTACATGCAGACTCCTATAGGAGATAGGTATAGAATAAGACTCTGATCAAGGATCATATGATTTAGAAGAGAAAATGTAAATTTGCAACAACTCAGAATGTGATCATTTCATACAATAACAATAAAGTTTTATGATAACTTGAAGGAATGAGAAACTATTTCCATGAGTCAAGATATTCAGGAATAACATATTAAAGAAGTGGCATTCAAGCCTGATCTTAAAGCTTGATTGGGGTCCTACTAAATTGGAGATATAGGAAGAGAAGTTCTTTCAAGGCAGAGTGAAAATGACACAGGCGATGTTTTTGTTTAAAGAAAGCACAGAGTGGCTTCTGATCATGGGAAATATTTCAGACCAGCTGAAGTGAGTAGAATTTAGGAGAGAAGAAAGGGAGGTTGAGGTAATAGATTATAAAGTTTATTACTGAACTAAGGAGCTGGTACTTAATTTAGCAACCCCTAGAAAGTCACTGGAGAATAAAGAGTTCAAAGCAGAGCTCCAGGAAGATTTCTTTGGCAGTTTTATGTATGGAGGGAGAAACACAACAAATTAGCAAAAGCTCCAGGCTGGGACTTAGGGGACCTGGTCAAATCTAACCTGTGTCAAATTTTTGGCAACTCATTTCCTCCATTGAACCTCAGTTTTCTCCTAGGAAAAATCATGAAGGGGAGTTTAGTCATCCATACATTCCTTTTCAGCTCTAAAAGGGAAAAAAGACCAAATAATAAGAGGTTTTGCAACAGTGAAACCTGAAAATAGGTGACTTGCACATCTGTAGTTTGCTTTATTACAGAGAAATTAAAGATATGATTAAAAGAGAGCATTACTTTATGATATCACATGTGGAGTCTTTTGTCAACAAGCTGTCCAAATGACTCTCATGTTATCTCCATAAAGAAGTTGGCAAGTCAACAGCCAGTATCATTCTCAATGGTGAAAGCTAAAAGCATTTCCATTAAGATCTGGAACAAGACAAAGATGTCCACTCTCACCATTGCTTTTCAGTATAATACTGGAAGTCCTAGCCAGAGCAATAAGACAAGAGAAAGGCATACAAGGAATCCAAATAGGAAAAGAAGAAGTCAAACTATCACTATTTGCAGATGATATGATAATATACATAGAGAACCCCAAAAACTCCACAGAAAAACTAATTCAACTCATCAATCAGTTCAGCAAAGTGGCAGGATACAAAATCAACACACAAAAGTCAGTAGCCTTCCTATACACAAACAATAAATCTGAAGAAGAAGAAGAAATAAAAAAAACATCCCTTTTATTATTGAAACAAAAAAAATCAAATACTTGGGAATAAATCTAACAAAAGAGGTAAAGGACCTATACAAAGAAAACTATAAAACACTGTTAAAAGAGATAGAAGAAGACACAAAGAAATGGAAAGACATCCCCTGCTCATGGATTGGAAGAATAAACATTATTAAAATGGCCATCCTACCAAAAGCAATATACAGATTCAATGCTATTTCAATTAAAATTTCAATGTCATTCTTCAAAGAAATAGAACAATTATTGATGAAATTCATATGACTCACCAAAAACCCTGAATAGCCAAAGCTCTCCTGAAAAAAAAAGAAGGGAATGGAGGCATCACACTCCCAGACTTCAAACTATACTACAAAGCCATAATCATCAAAACTGCATGGTATTGGAACAAGAACAGACACACAGACCAATGGAATCGAATAGAAAATCCAGAAATAAACCCACAGATTTATGGTCAACTAATCTTTGACAAAGGAGCAAAGACTATACATTGGAGCAAAGAAAGTTTGTTCAATAAATGGTGCTGGGAAAACTGGGTTGCTACATGCAGAAGAATGAAGCTTGACTACTACCTAACACCATACACAAAAATCAACTCAAAATGGATTAAAGAACTAGACATAAGACCTGAAACCATAAAATACATAGAAGGAAATATAGGTGAAACACTTCGTGATATGCACATCAAAGACATCTTTACAGACACATCACCCAAAGCAGTGATAGTGAAGGCAAAGATAAACAGCTGGGACTAAATTAAAGAGCTTCTGCACAGCAAAAGAGACAATAACAAAAACAAAGAGAAACCCCACCGACTGGGAGAACATTTTTGCACACAACACTAATGATAAAGGACTGATCACAAAAATCTGCAAAGAGCTGATGAGACTCAATAACAACAGAGAAAATAATCCTGTCAAAAATGGGCAGAAGAGCTAAAAAGAAACTTCTCTGAAGAGGAAATGCAAATGGCCAACAGGCATATGAAAAAATGTTCAACATCACTTGTCATCAGGGAAATGCAAATCAAAACTACCATGAGATACCATCTTACACCAGTGAGAATGGCACATATTAAGAAAAATAGCAACAACAAATGTTGGCGAGGATGTGGAGAAAAAGGAACTCTCCTGCACTGTTGGTGGGAGTGCAAACTGGTCCAACCACTATGGAGAGCTGTGTGGAGATTTCTGGACCTACTAAACATAGAGCTTCCATATGATCCAGCAATTCCACTCCTAGGTATTTAGAACACAGAAACATCAATTCCAAAGAACACCTGCACCCCTATGTTTATAGCAGCACTGTTTACAATAGCTAAGCTTTGGAAACAACCCAAATGCCCAAAAATAGATGACTGGATCAAGAAGATGTGGTATATTACTCCAAATAAACATGCAGCAAACATCATCATGCTTCCAAAGAACACCTGCAACCCCTATGTTTATAGCAGCACTGTTTACAATAGCTAAGCTTTGGAAACAACCCAAATGCCCAAAAATAGATGACTGGATCAAGAAGATGTGGTACATATACACCATGAAATATTACTCAGTATTCAAAAAAGATAAACACATGCAATTTGCAGCAACATGGATGGCGCTGGAAGGGATCATGCTCAGCGAAATAAGCCAGAAAGAAAAAGAAAAATACCGGATGGTCTCACTCATAGCAGGAATCTAGAAAACTTAAATAAGAGACCAGGAAAATGAATAACTATAAGAAAGTGAAAATCAAAATCAACAAAAAACTATGAACCAGAGACACTCTATGGGGGGTGGGGAGTGGGGAGGGGAGGGATTGGGGTCAAAAATAAGGGGGTTGCAATTGTATGGGGAATATAAAAATAAAATTTATTTAAAAAAAATAAAATAAATGTTAATTTAAAAAAAAAGAAGTTGGCAAGTAGTTTTAATATCAACAATACCTCATTTTATATGTATACCTGTTATAGGACAGGGAGAGGGGCAGCCCAAACCCCGCAAAC